ACCTTTTAAAACTAGGATATGTTAGGCTGGTGATGTAGCTCAGTCGTTGAACTCTTGCCTTGCACATATGAGGCCCAAGGTTGGATCCCTGGTGCACTGCAAAATCGAGCAAACAAAACTTAGGGCATGTTAGAAACCAACTAAATATACCTTCCACATCAAAGGTCATCATTTGAAGAAAAGAATGAAATACTTCAGTACTCTAAAGCATCGAGGAACATAGGGTGAAATACTGAAGAAATGCAAATGTTTTGTTTTGAGACCACACTAACAGTGCTCAGGGATAATTTCTGGCTCTGCATTCAGGGATCACTCAGGCAGGCTCTGGCGACCAGATGCAAGGCAGGGGTTCTAGCTGCTGTACTAGCCCTCTAGGCCCAGAAATGCAAACACTGCCCATCATAAGCCACTGAATAAAGTGCTCCCACTAGGGTTCAAAGTTAGTTTCCACACAAAAGCACGTGGCAACTTATAAGAGAATCTACATCAGGAAGTACAGTGATGATGCTCAAAACTGCAACAGGAAACTTCTCTCCTCCCGTTTGCTGCCTCAGTTGACCATAGGCCACGTCAGTCCTCCCCACTGCTTTCCAAATCAGCACACATGGCCCTCCATCGTTACCTGCTCTCTGAGGGGGTTATCACAATGTCAAGAAACATCAACAAATTCATCACAGCATTTTGAACCTTAAGAACACTCAGTCTCACAACATTCTGCAGGATGACATACATACATACATACATACATACATACATACATACAACATACATCAAAATGACATCTTTCTGCCAAATGTCAAAAGTCAAGATGCTCAATGTTATTTTTTTTGTTTTGGTTTTTTGGGTCAGACCCAGCGATGCACAGGGGTTACTCCTGGCTCTGCACTCAGGAATTACCCCTGGTGGTGCTCTGGGGACCATATGGGACACTGGGAATCAAACCCGAGTCGGCTGTGTGCAAGGCAAATGCCCTACCCGCTGTGCTATTACTCCAGCCCCTCAATGTTATTTCTTAATTAATTACAGGTACAGGCCTTATTTATATTCTTTCCTCTTACTTGAAAAACCTATGCTCTTCCCTCACAAGAATCAACTGCCCTGGGATGCTGTTTCTTATTCTATAACCAAGAATTCTGCACCCATTTATAAAATGGAGCTAGAGTAAGATAAAAATATCTCTCTGTAAACTTGAATTGAATGTGCCAGAGAGATTTCAGAATAAAAATGAAATCACTCACCGATTATGTTGGATCCAACAATCAATTGAATTCACTTTTTCCCCCCTGGTTTGGGGTCACACCTGGCAGTGCTCAGGGCTTACTCCTGGCAGTCCTTGGAGGACCATTTGGTATGCCAGGCATCGAACGTTTGTGGACTGCATGCAAGGCATCATCCTTCCCACCGTACTATCTCTCCAGCAATCTGTATTCACTTTTTGTTTGTTTGGGTGCCACACCTGGTAATTCTCAGTGGTTACTCTTGGCTCTGCCCTCAGGAATCATTCCTGGATGTGCTTGGGAGACCATATGGGATGCTGTGGATGGAACCTGGGTCAGCTGTGTACAAGGCAAGTGTCCTCCTACCCTCTATACTATGGCTTTGGCCCCTGAATTTATTTCTTATAAAAAAAAATCAGGGTCAGAGAGTTAGCTCATTGGACTGAGTACATGAAGGAGGCCTGCATTCAAATGCTGGCACTCCAGCATGGTTCCCTGAGCAGTGAATAGGGAGTAGACCTCAGCACCTCCAGATGTGGTTCCCATGAGCATGGGATGTGGCTCAGTGATAAGAGCAGCTGCCTGGCAGGCATAAGGCCTAGAGATGGGTCCCCAGCCCCATCCTGTATGCTGAGTGCAATCCCCACAGCACTGCCATGGGTGATCCCTGGCACCACCACAAAGTATGTGACACTGCAACTGTGCAACCCAGGTGAGAACCACAGCTCAAGCGTGTGAACACTAACACCCAGTAGTTCTGACCCCTGATCATTACAACAAAAGAGAAGGAAAGGAAGGAAACATTTCCAACTACAAAGTGAACCACGTAGATGCTGCCAAATGTGAACAGCAATGTAAGAGAGGACAGTGTGTGCTCTTGATCTTGAGACAAGGGGAATGAATTCCTCCAAGAGTGCTGGAATCCTTGGGCTGGAGCGACAGCACAGTGAGGAGGGCCTTTGACTTGCATGTGGCTGACCCGGGTTCGATCCCTGGCATCCCATATGGTCCCCTGAGGGCAGAGCCCTGAGTAACCCCTGAGTATCACCGGGTGCGATGCATCACCAAAGCAAACAAAAATATAGTACTGGAATCCAACAAGCCGGTCATGACCAATGCCAAACACCAATTCCAAATCTATCAGGGGTCAATACTCCCTGGATATTGTAGAAGAGTGTCAATAAAATTCATCTTCTATTTTCCTTCAAAATGATTCTGCTACTTAAAAACTGCATAGGTCAGAGGGCCTAGTGATGATTCTGGATATATGAATCAGAATCAAAATTTCTTTTTCCAAATCGCACATCAAATCAATTGTTGGGCGAGTTGTGAACCATGTAGCTTTATCTCATTTTACTGCCAGAGTGATAGCACAGAGGGTGCAGCATTTGTCTTACACATGGCCGACCTGGGTTCAATCCCCAGCATCTTGTATGGTCTCCGGAGCACTGTGAGGAATGATTCCTGAGTGCAGAGGCAGGAATTACCCTGAGCATAGCTGGCTGTGCCTCCGTTAAAAAATAAATAAATAAAAATATTATGAAGCTAATAGGTAGCTATAAAACAAAATTAAGTTCACTTTTTAAAAACCCTTTCTGGGGGTTTAGAGCCATACCAATCATGATCAGGGGTTACTCCTGGGCTCTGCACTCAGAAATTACTCTTGGCAGAACTCAGGAGATCATACAGGATGCCTGGGATCAAACCCATTGTCAGCAGTGTGCAAGGAAAGCGTTCTACCCACTGTATTATCTCAGCAGCCCATAAAGACCCATTTTAAAATCCTACTTTATCTGACAGCTGGGTTTCTGTACCACGGGACTCTTGACATGCTGGACTAGATCGTTCCTTGTTGTAAGGAACGATCTTACAACTGTAAAGAATGATTTTACCAAAAAATCTTACAAAAAATGATCTCTTTAGCTGCCTCTCACCTCTACTCACCAGGAGCCTGAAGAAACCTGTCCCAAGTTTTAACAAAAAAAGAATGTTCTCCATTCATAGGCAAACATCTTTTTGGGGGAGAAAGGGGGACACACACTGTCACTCCTGGTTCTGCACTCAGGGATTACTCCTGGTGATACTGGGGGTGGGAGGAGGAGAGGCGAACCATATGGGCTGCTGGGGATTGAACCCTGTTCAGCCATGTGCAAGGCCTCACCTGCTGTACTATCGCTCTGACCCCCATCATAGGCAAACATATTCTGAAGAGGTAAAACCACCCACAGTTGAGAACCATAGTGAAATCTTAAATGCTAAGTTTTTGACTAGTAATACCGGGTGATTGGTACTCAGAGCTTACTTTTGGCTCTGTGCTCAGGGGTCACTCCTGGACGTTCTCAGGGGACCAACTGCTGTGCTGGGATCAAACTGGGGTTGGCCTTGTGCAAAGTGCCTTAACCCTTGTACTATCTCTTTGGTCCTCAAATGTAAAGTTCTATACTTTGCACCCAGTGATCTGAAGAGATCAAAGGGTCACTGAAGAGGATCACGGGAGTAAACAGCCAGAGAAATTGAGTGGTGAGGTAGAAGAGTCATTTGAGAATGTCAGAATAGGCCAGAAGACAGCTCAGCATGCTGAGAGCAATTTGCAGGCTAGTCCCTGGGTTTGATCCTTAGCACCTCATGGGGGTCCCCAGAGCACCATGTCAGGAATAGCACCTAGCCACCACCAGTTATGGTCCCAAAACCAAAACCAAACAAACAAAAAAATGAAACCGAGAGAGCAAAAATGTCACGCAAAAGTCCTTGGAAGGTCTATCTTCATAGCCATTTCCATTTCTTTTTACTAAGATTCCTTAAAAAAAAAAAAGAATATTTTCATTGTAGGTAAGTATTTGTGGGCTGGAAAGATAGCCTTGTAAACATCTGACCCTGATTTGATCCCTGGTACCACATATAATGTCCCAAGTAGTGCCAGGAGTGATCCCTGGGTGCAGAGCCAGGGGTAAGCCCTGAGCACTGCTGGGTGTAGCCCAAAAACAAACAAACAAAATTTCTGTGACTGGAGATGTGGCTCTGGCTGTGTATCACATGTCTAATGTGGGTGAGGACGGGTTTGATATGGCACCATGCCCCTGCTTCCCGGCACAGTTCAGGATGGTCTGGAAGCTCGTGGGCAGCTGCCTGGAGTACTGCTAGGTGTGTAGAAAATATACAGCAGCTATAGGAAAAAAAAAGGCATTTCCCGTCTCCAATGATTATCAAATTGTTAATCTGATAACAATTTACAACCTACTATAACATAATGTCAGCTTTGAAATTTTCCATCTACTGCAGATAATCCATGCTCCAAGGATCTGAATCGTACCAAATGCACCTATCGAAGGGCCAATCTTGGCAGCCCAACATAAGACATCTTCTTTTTGTTGGAAATATGTTGGGGTTTATTTTTTTGGGGGGGAAGGGTTACTTGGGTCACACATGGTGGTGCTCAGGGATTACTTCTGGTGTTCAGGAGAGCACACAGTGCTAAGGGTTATGGATCCAGGCTTCCTGCATAGCATCTCCCCAACCAAGAAATTTGGTTTACACATCATCTGAGCCTTTCAATGACTAAAGTTTACAAGCTGATTTACGCCTTTTATTATCTTGTTTGGGTCAACGTGCAGAAAGAAACATAACTTTTCTTTTGAAACACAACTATGCCAAAATTAAAAGAAGTAAAAGGGGTTAAAATTTCATTTTGAATAATTTGCTACAAGATCAGGAAAGTACCTTAAAAAAATTGTTTTTTGGGAATCACTCCTAGAGGTGTTTGGGGCACCATGGAGTGCTGGGTTCAGGGCCGGGCTCCTGCACGCAAATCACGCGCCAGCCCTCTGAGCCACCTCCCAGCCCTGAAAGAATTTTAAACATCTCTGAATATCCTTAACACTCACATATCCTGCCTCTTAGTTCTTTAAAGATGTGCAGTGTCTTTTATTAGAATAACTGTCTGGTGACAGAGTAGGTAAAAAACTAACCAGTTTTTAACATTGGTTCTACCAATCCTTTTGGTTTGCTTTTAGGGTATTTTTTTGTTTTTTGGGCCACACCCAGCGGTGCTCAGGACTTACTCCTGGCAGTGCTCTGGGGACCACATGGGATGCTGGGGATCAAACTCAGTTCAGGCACGTGCAAGGCAAATGCCCTAGTTGCTGTACTATAGCTCTGGCCCTAACCAGTTCTTCTTTTTTTTTTTTTTTCTGAAAAGGCTCTTTTTGTTTGTGTTTTGGGCCATGTCTGACAGTGAGTAGGGGCGACTCCTGACTTGGGGCACCAGGGTCGCCCCAAAGGTGCTGGTGAGACTATGTGTCCTGGGGATCAAATCTGGGCCTTCATGCAAAGCATACGCACTAGCCCCATAAGCTTTCTCCCTGGCTTCCAGAGAATCTTTTAAAGGTAATCAATTTAAAACATGATTTGTCAATCTCATCTTATCCTTTTCCCTCCTGTTAATGTTCTCCTCATAAACTAAATAAAAGAATGTCAGCAGTGGCTCCATTTTTTAATAACACAGCTGTGCTATTTGAAAATAGCTGAAAAAAAGAGGGGCCCATTTTGGATCTCACCCAGATGATTTGCTTTAGGATCACAAGGCAGGTTATGAGTGTACGTGGAATAGTCCAACAGCAAAGCAGACAGGATGACCACCAGACCTGTGCTCATTGGCTCCATTTCCTTCCCGGGTCACCTTCAAATGGAACTCACTGAGGTGAAGAATGTGCTAGAAGAAACTGTTCAGCTCATCCCATGCTTGTCTGTATACAAACATGATCAGCCTGTAAAACCGTGGTCTTAGATTTCAAAAGCAATTTTCTTTTGCTTTTAGGCCTGTATAGGGTTGTTCCAGGTTTATTCCTGGCTGTGCACTCAAGGCCCACTCCTGGCATACTTGGGGAATAAAATATGGTGCTGGGGATCAAGCCCGGGTCAGCCGCATGCAAGACAAGCGCCTTACACACACTATACTGTCACTCCAGCCGCTAGAAAGGAATTTTTACAATCATCTTGCCAGGCAGTTCTGCCTGCCTTCTGTCAACAAAGTTTCTCTTTAAAATTTCAGCAGAAAATTCAAACATGGAGTTCATGGGAGAGGCTTGGCAAAGGAAAGTTGACTCGCCAAACTTCCTGTACGCTTGTCCACGTTCTCAGAGTAAAATGATGATGATGAAGGAAAGCAGAGGGTTGAGACACTGTGAAAAAGGAATGGAGATTTTCTTCTTTCTCTTATCTACAATTTGGACGCGCAGCAGGAAAAACAAGAAGCCTCAGGACCAGCCTTGATTCACTCAGAACTAAGGAGGGGCCAGCAGAGGCCTCAGAGATGCAGAGACCCTACTGAACTATCATTAGTCCTGTGAGTCACGAAACTCGGCTGCCACCATGGAAGCAGATCCTCTGATAACTCTGTGGGGATCGATGACAATTCATTATAACCTTGAGGACGACTGTCCCCGCTGGGGCTGGAGGAATCACCAGTTCTCCGAGGACCTGCTCTCCCTCATTTCCTGCTTTTGCTTAATGTCACAGTTTCTCCAAGAACTGCAGCGAGAACACACTGTAGTCAAACAAAAGGCAAATACATTAACAGTGGAAAAGTGTTCCTCTTGGGATTTCACAAAATTGGACCAAGGTGGTTTTCGACCCCAGAATGAGGAGTGATCACCTCTAAATTCTTACCCCTCACCCACTCCGGCGATCCCCTGCTACGTAAGAGTCTCTCGATCTGAAAAGTTGGGCTGCAGCTGCGGTCTGTCCTCGGAATCGTCACCGGCCACCTCATTCTCCTCTCCAGACTCCACATAGATGGGCCAGTCATTGTCAGTGTCGCTCTTCTCTTGGCTCTCAGACGAAGCTTCCACCAGGCTCAGGTTGATGGGCATCATCAAGTCGTCATCATCATCGTGGGGGTCGGTCACGCAGGTGCAGCTGTCACACAGCCCGAAGCGCCTCAGCCCCTGTGACACATGACTCGTGAAGGTGCGTCGGCAGCCCTTGCAGATGATTGGACGGCTGGATCTGTGGACCTAGAATCATACACAGAGACTGTCAACGTCCCCAGAAGGAGGGAGGGTCCGGCCTCATTATTTCCTACCACTGTACCCCTACCTCTCTTTCTCTCTTTCCCATGGCCTTAATCTTGATAAGGTTTTGTCCACGCCAGGGTCATTAAGACCTGTGGGGCTTGTCCCTTTCTCCACATTGCTGACCCCACCCCCACACTCCTTGCCTCTGGGTAAGTCTCTGCTGCTCAAGCCCAGGTCTAGCCACCCCCCCCCCATATCCTTTTGTTGGTTGTGTTTGGGCCACACATGGCAATGCTCAGGGTTTTCTCTTGGCTTTGCACTCAGAAATCACTCCGGATGGTAATTATATAGGGTGGTGACCACATGCTCCGGGCACCATATGTTGGGATGCTGAGGATCGAACCTAGGTTGGCTGTATGCAAGGCAAACATCCTAGCCACTGTACTATCTTTCTACCCACCCACCATATTGTTTTACCTACCAGTCCCTGGAGTGATAGCACAGCGGGTAGGGCGTTCGCCTTACAAGCGGCCAACATGGCCGACCCGAGTTCGATTCCTCCGCCCCTCTCGGAGAGCCCGGCAAGCTACCGAGAGTATTCGATATGCCAGACACAGTAACAACAAAGTCTCCAATGGAGACGTTACTGGGCCCGCTCGAGCAAATCGACGATCAACGGGAGGGCCTTTACCTTTACCTTTTACCTTTTACCAGTCCCTAACAAGGCTTGGTAAAAATGCACTGGACTGTAGGTTTCAAGAGGGCAGGGATGTCCCCAGCCATACCCTCTGTCCTTTGACCCCTCAGTTCTACTCTCCCTGGCATCCAAACGGCACTCGGTAAGAGGATGTAGCTCAAGTCTCACATGCATGAGGCCTGTTTCTTCCTAGGAAAGGCCAAAAGAACAAAACTCCTAAGGGCTCTCAGCAAACCCAGCAGGATTTTCAGGTTGGCTTTTTGCTTACCTTGGATTACCATTCCCTTATCTGAAAGGCAGGTTTGCTAGACAGCATGTTTCCAAAATGTGTTGACATGTTTTGCCTCTGAATGTTTGTGGATACAAGCACAGTGGGTACAGACATCCCTTCCTCCGCAGAAGAGCTCTGACAAGCCAGAGCGACAGCATAGTGGGTATGGTGTTTGTCCTGCAGGAGGCCAACTTGGTTCAAGTCCCAATCATCAGCACCACATATGGCCCCCTAGTCCTGTCAGGAGTGAGCCCAGAGAGCAGAGCCAGGAATAAATAATGCCAGGTATGGCCCAAAAATAAACAAACAAACAAAAAAAAAGAATTAAGTCTAGAAAGTCTTTGATTTTAGGAAAGAGAGCGTGAAGTGCAGAGAGACAGCTCACCTTTTTTTTTTTTTGCCACGTCTGGCAGTATAAAGAGCTTACTCCTGGCTCTGAGCTCAGGATCACATCTGGTGGGGCTCAGGAAACGATATAGGGTGCTGGGGATTGAACCTGAGTTGGCTGCATGCAAGGCAAATGTTACCTTCCACACTGTCCTATCTCTCTGGCCTAGCTCAACATTTTTCTTTCCTTTTTTTTTTGACCTTTTGGTTCACAATGGTGATGCTCAGGAATCAGTCCTGGCTCTGTACTCAGGAATCACTACTGGTGGTGCTCAGAGGACCATATAGGATGCCGGGGCCCGAACCTGGGTCGACTGTGTGCAAGGCAAACACCCTTCCCCCTGTATTATTGCTCTGGCTCCTTTTTATTTATTTATTTTTAAATTTTGTTTTTAAGGAGTTGCTCACAGTAATTGATTACATTCAATATTTCAACACCAATCCCACCATTATTATGCCTTCCGACCACCATTATTTTGAGTTTTCCCACCACCACCCAGCCTGCCCAAAAGGCAGATGATAAATAATTTATTTTGTATTGCTTGTTATGAATAATTGACTAAAAATAATCAAAAAGGTTTCCTCTCCTGCTGCCCAGACTGTTCCTGTCACCCTCACAGGCTTCGGGCTGCCACCTCTTCCTGGGCCCTTACTGCCCAGGAAACTGGTGTCAAGACGCTTGAACTCTGAGCCTTGGTTTCTTTTTTTCTTTTTTTTTTTTTTTTTGCGCTTTTTGGGTCACACCTGGCGATGCTCAGGGCTGACTCCTGGCTCTACACTCAGAAATCACTCCTGGCGGTACTCAGGGGACCATATGGGATGCTGGGAATCGAACCTGGGTCGGCCGCATGCAAGGCAAACACCCTACCCACTGTGCTATTGCTCCAGCCCCAGCCTTGGTTTCTTCCTTTGCAAAACATTCCATGCTGTGATTGCTTCCCAGTACAGTTGGGAGGATTGAGGGAGGTGGGAAATGTTTCTGAGTGCACATAGTAGGCCTCTTTCTTCATTTCTACCCATATAACATCTGCCTTTTTTTTTTTTTAGCTTTTTTGGGTCACACTCAGCGATACAAGGGGTTCCTCCTGGCTCTGCATTCCGGAGTTACTCATGGCAGTGCTCAGGGGACCATATGGGATGCTGGGAATCGAACCCAGGTCGGCCGCGTGCAAGGCAAACGCCCTACCTGCTGTGCTATCTCTCCAGCCCCAATCTGCCTCTTGATTGGAATCTTCACACTACGAATCAGGAAGCCAGACCTTGTTCCCCCCCTTTATCTGAACCCCAAATTGCACAGATGACATCTGACAAAGGGCTTATAGTTGACTTGTGAATTTGTTTCCAACAGAAAACGTACTCAGTAGTACTAGAAAGAATCAAATCACACTTTATTAATTGCACAATAAATCACCTTTGTATGAAATAAAAATTGCCCAAATCATGATTTCCCTAAGCAACAGATTGGGGCAATAATGTAAGTAAAATCAGGCCTGTGCCATCTCTGGAAAGCAGTTTTGCTGTCTCATAAAGCTCTTACCTCTGGACTCACCCACTGGCCTACAAGTCCAGCGAAGCCCACTAATCTCTGCCTACAACAACCATCCCTGATGAGGATCGAAACTTTCACGACTCTTCACTTAAGAAAGCAAATCTATTGCCCTAGAAGCTTTAACCTTCTCCAACAAAACTGGCTTTGATGGAGCAGGACAAACGTTCTTAGGAAACGCCCGGTGGACAGAAATGTGGGCCCCGGCGCCCCAGCTCCAGCCCCAGCCCCGGCCGGCACTCACACTCAGGGCATGGCTCCGCAGGTGCTCCTGGCGCGTGAACCTCTTGCCACAAGTCTCGCAGGGGTAGGGACGCTCGCCCGTGTGGGAGCGGATATGCCGCTTCAGGATACCCTTCTGCTTGGCAGTGTAAGGGCAGAAAGGACACTTGTGGAGCTTAATGGGCACCACCAGCACGTCACCTGGGGAAGCAAATGGAACGAGTTAGCTCTCCCACACGGGCCGCCCCGAGGGACAAAGTGCAAAGCCTACTGCAGAGGGAGGCTCCCATATCCCACCAGCCCACTGCCCCCCAAGATCTGCACATTCTGACTGTCTGTTCCCACTCCTCCCTCCCCCCACTGGCCTCAAGTGGGCTTCTGCCCAGAGGGTGCAAGGCAAGCTCGCAGCAACCAGATTTCCCATTCCTTGAAGTTTACTGGACACACACCACCCAGGACACAACACACTGGCCTTCCTGTGTGTCCCAAGGGAACTACACACGCTATGTTGGGGCCTGTTCTGCTGGCAGAGCTGATGGTGATTCTGCTATGGACTGTACCCTGGGCTCCCCAAATACACACGCTGAGACCCTAGCCTTCAGGTGAGTGTCTGGAGACTGAGGCAATGGAGGTTAAACGAAGTCACAAAGGTGGCGCGAATCCGATAGCACAGGGGTCCTTAGGAGACAAAGGGTACTTTCTCTGCCTGCTGGGGTGCAGAGGAAAGTTTCCTCCCTGGTAAGGGTCAGGGAGAAGCTGGAACTCTCCCCAGGAACCAGCAACGCTGGCCACTGACCCTGGACTCAGAGCGTCTAAACTGGTGAGAAAATAGTCATCTTTGCATGGAGGCTGGGCCAGCTAACACAGCCCTCCCAAATTCATTACATGGCCCTTGAAAGTTTGAAAAACGCTACGGGTGCAGTTATTCTTTACTTGTTTGTTGAACTCTGGGCTATACCTGGCAGTGCATGGATTTTTCCCACCTCAGTGGCTCAGGAGTGGTAGGTGATGTACTAGAACCTTCTTCCTGATTATCCACGAAACATGAAGTGAAATGGTTCTACATTAGTCCCTGGAAAAAAATGACTGCTCACTCTCCAAAGAAGAGCTGCGTTAGAGAAACCCTCCCTTCCTCTTGCATGATCCAATGCCTCCCACATAGAAACAGTTCACTCAAATGCATGCAGTGCACCTGGTACCAGGAGGTGCTGTCAGCACTGCACCCATTTCCTCCTCAGGAAGTCAAGGCTCGTGGAAGAGACATACATATGTGTATAACGGTATGTCTCATACACGCAAACAAGCCATTAACAAACCTGGTGCTCTCTGGTTGGGGAGCTAGTCTAGTCCTATACAAGACAATGTGGCAATGACAGTTTAAAGTAAGACAAGGTACAAATAGGAAAAGAGACATGTTTGAGGGGAGCGGAGGGAAAGGGAAGATCTTTTTTTGGGGGAAGGGGGGGTCACACTAGCAATTCTCCAATTCTCAGGGGTTGCTCCTGTCTCTGCACTCAATAATTATTCCTCAGGGAACCATATGGGGTGCCGGATCGAACCCGGGTCAGCCATGTGCAAGGCAAGCACCTTACCCACTGTTACTGTCAGTTCAGCCCCGGGAAAAGATTCTAAATGATCTGTAAATAACAGTGGGGTAAACTAAGGCAGAAAACACAGGAGAAAAACAAGTAGAAGAGGAATGAAAAGTTTGATTCTGACTGCACTGATGAAGGCAGGCAATGGGCTCCCGGAAGGAATAACCTGGGTGCAGACAAAATCCTGCGCTCTGGGAGAATGGGACAGAGCACAGCTGAGCGGCCTCAACGATGAGAGCGATGAGAGGCAGGTCTGAACTGAGAATGTGCTTCCCTCTCCCGTGGAGCTCAGGGCTCTGGGTCTAGGCAGACAGAAACCTGCTTGTGCTGATCATCTCCAGAACACGGTTCACTCGGTGCCCTTACAACCAGCGTGAAACACAACACAGGTCTATAACACACCTAGTAGTGACTGAAAAGCCCATGGGAACCGGAGAGTCAGTACAGGGGACAAGGCCTTGCACACGGACAACCCAGGTTCAGTTCCAAGCACCACCAGAAGTGAATCCTGAGCACAGAGCCAGGAGTTACCCTGAGTAGCACTAGATGTCCCCTCAACCCCCTAAAAAGAAACAAAAAACAGAAGCGCCCCTGATTCTGTCCCAAATATTTTCCTGCTTTATTCACTCCTATACCTCTTTCAACGTCTATTTTATACCTCTCCTAAGATCCAACCTCCAACGCCTCTGCCACGGCTCACTTCAGGAAACAGAAGTGCTTCCACTTGGGAACTGGTCCCACTCTCTTTGGTTCTCAGCTGTCCCCTTTTTCCTGGATCACTTCATCAGTAAATCTGGGAGTCTCCCTTATTCTCAGGCACTGCATCCCAAGACCCTCAGTGGACACCTGGAACTGCAGATTGCAGACCCTTTCTGCCCCAAGCTTGTTTCTAAACATAAATACCAATGATCAAGTGTAGGTGATAAGTGAGGAACAGCAAGAAATAAAATAATAATAGGGCCAGAGAGATAATACAGTGGGTAGGGTGCTTGCCTTGAACACGGTCTACCCAGGTTCAATTCCTGGCATACTATATGGCCCATTAAGGCTGGCCAGGAGTAATCCCTGAAATCAGAGCCAGGAGTGAGTCCTGAGTACTTCTGGGTGAAGCCCAAGAACAAAAACAAAAAGCAAAAAACCAAAAAAACAAAAAAGAAAGAAAGAAAATAGTAATAAAGCAAAGCAACTCTAACAATATACTGTCATACAGGCTATGTATAAGAAGTCTCTTTTTTCTCTCAAAATTTCTCTCTCTCTCTCTCTCTCTCTCTCTCTCTCTCTCTCTCTCTCTCTCTCAAAATATCCTTTCTACAAAATATTTTTGGATGGTGGCTGACCACAGATAACTGAAACCAGACAGCAAAGCCTTGAGTAGCTGAAAGCTCAGAAAGGGAGAGGGGACGCTGTGAAAGGCATCAGTTCCTCCACCTTCATCAGCATTTCTTTGTTTCCTTCACAGGAAAACTCCCCAGAAGAAGCTCCTCCGCTCACTATCTTCACATCTATTTCCACTGCGCCTTTGAAGCTACTCCAGCCAGCCAGTGCTCAGGGGCAGTTCCTGGCTCTGTGTTCAGGAGTGATCCCTGACAGGGGAAGGAGGAGGGGAGACGGGGGGGCAGAGGCAGTGCCAGGATTCAAGCCAGGGTTGGTCACATGCAAGGCAAACACCTTAATTCCTGCGCTACCTCTCTGGCGCTTCCATTCAGTGTTTCACCCCATATATTTCTTTTTTATTCAGTCTGGCCTTCTAATAGGTCTTTGTCTTCACCGATAATGGCTGCTCTAGAAAGAGATTCTTCCATGTCCGGATGACTTAAAGGCATAATTCACTGATGAGCATCTCTTATCTTTTTCCTCATTTGCAGTAGGTCTCACATCTAATAATAACGCTGCTCCCTGTTCTACCCAATGGGCCTTAAACCCCATCTTTAATTGCCACCACTCTAGACAGATTTTGGTTAACTTTGAAAACCACGGTTTACCCACGGTTCTATAGGCTGTGTGGCTTACACACCATAACGGTCCACAAGTCCTGCTGCAGGAGGTGAGGAGGGCTGCGCCTCTGTGTCCCTGAAGCTACAGTCACCCACCTCTCACTTCTACCAGAAAGCACAGTATGGGCACCACCTTAACGCCCTCCCTTCTCTCCCACTCATACAAGCCATTAGCAAAGCTGGTCCTCTCTGGGGAGCTGGTCCAGTCCTAGCGCAACTCCCCTCCAGAGCCAGCACGCAGGCTCAGGGACACATCTCCCAGGATTCCTGCCACCACAGCTCACCTCTACTCTGCAGCAGGGCTTCTTAAGTTCTTTCCACTCACAACCCATTTTTATTTGAGAAACATGGCACCGGTAAGTCCTGCCTGAAACGCCTTGGAATCATAATACTGTTGACCCAGAGTTAACTTTCATCCAATGCATGTTCAGAAACCTTTTACTGTTGCCAAATTCTTCATGACCTCACATTCTGCTATAGAACCCCTATATGGGTCACAACCAGGGTCTTTAAAACTAGGGTCTCCAGGAGAGTTAAGGGCAGAAGCAAGAGGTTCCCTGGGGGGTAACAACACATGGCGCTCAGAAGGATCCTTCCAGTGCACAGCGTTTTGTGTCACTCCCTGCTGAGATGCAGGGGCACCCCTTCCCATCACCTCCCCGGTCTCCACCCTCACCCCCTGTCCCACTCTCTGCCTTGCTTGACTCCAGACACACCAGCATCCATGTTGCTCCTTTGTTCATCCACCAAGTGTGATCCTGCCTACACACCTTCGTACTTTCAATCCTACCTGGCACTTCCCTCTGCCTGGAATGTTCTCCCAGAGGGCTGCCCCGTATGCTCTATCTCCCCTGAGGAATCTACTCAAAGACAACTTAGCAGAAAGGTCTTTCTTGTCAACCTAACACAACAGCATGCCTTTCACCCCCTAGTGACATTTTCCCTGCTTCAGTTCTTCATACTAGATGTTTCCTTCTCTGTTTGTTGTCTGTCTCCCTACATGAGTGTGTCAAGAAGTGCTCAATAAGTGTCGGTAAAGGGAAGGCAGGGAGGCAGGCAAAGGGAAGAGAGGCTGAGGAGGTGAGCCAGGAATGGAAAGGTAGATGGGCTGACACCTCATTACAAGGCAAAAAGGAAAGGCCAGAGGTCAGAAGCCTGGGTACTCGTGGCATGTGAAGCCAAGGAAGAAACAATTTAAAAAATCTGAAGGAACAGGTAGCAGAGTTAGTACAGGCCATGTCTGACACAAAGAAGCATCCACTTCCTACCTTGTAGAACATGTTACCATATGTGAAGAAAAGTCAGAAAGCTTCCTTATTTGATCCAAAAAGCGGAGACAAGTGCAAGGTGGGGATGAATATCTCCTGAACTAAACAGGTTCAAAGAGCTGGAGATAGTATAGATGTTAGGGCACTTGCCTTGCACACGGCTGACCTGGGCTTGATCCCTGGCATCCCATAAAGGGTTCTGGGAGTACTGTCAGGAGTAATTTCTGAGTGCAGAGACAGAAGTAACAGCTGAACATTGCAAGGTATGACCCCCCACATCCCCCAGAGAGAGAGAGAGAGAGAGAGAGAGAGAAAGAGAGAGAGAGAGACTGAAGAACATAACCAGGAGTCAGAGTAATAGTACAGCAGGTAGCAGGTATTATCTGGCTCCAATCTCGGGTACCCCTATAGTCCCCTGAGCCTCCAGGAGAGATCCCTAAGCAAAGACCCAGAATAAGTCCTGAACCGCCAGGGGTAATTCCTGAGTGCAGAGCCAGGAGTAACCCCTGTGCATCGCCAGGTGTGACCCAAAAAAAGCAAAAACAAAAAAAAAAAATGGGGCTGGAGCAATAGTACAGCGGGTAGGGCGTTTGCCTTGCACGCGGCCAACCCGGGTTCGATTCCCAGCATCCCATATGGTCCCCTGAGCACCTCCAGGGATAATTCCTGAGTGCAGGGCCAGGAGTAACCCCTGTGCATCGGCAGGTGTGACCCAAAAAAAGCAAAAACAAACAAAAAAAATGGGGCTGGAGCAATAGCACAGCGGGTAGGGCGTTTGCCTTGCACGCGGCCAACCCGGGTTCGATTCCCAGCATCCCATATGGTCCCCTGAGCACCGCCAGAGATAATTCCTGAGTGCAGAGCCAGGAGTAACCCCTGTGCATCGCCAGGTGTGACCCGAAGAAAGCAAAAACAAAACAAAACAAAACAAATAAGTCCTGAGCACAGCTGGTTGTGGCCAAAAACAAACCAAACAAGAGAATCTAACCAAAACCTGAGGGTTGTTTCCAGAACCAGAAACTGCCCTCAGCATATTTATAAGGGTTTCATCTTGCTAGCTGAAACTAGAATTTTTTTCTTTTTGGGTCACACCTGGCAATGCTCAGGGGCTACTCCTGGCTCTGCACTCAGAAATAAGTCCTAGTGGTACTTGGGAGGACTATATGGGATGCTGGGAATAGAACCCGGGCCAGCTGCATGCAAGGTAAACGTCCTTCCTGCGGTACTATAGCTCCAGTCCGAAACTAGAATATTTCTATATGATATTATTTGGTAGGGTTTCACAGATTTGGGAACGTTGTCACCGTTACTTTATATAGGAAAAATTTCTAGCATTCCAAGTCCCCCAAAATAACCTCCAAAAGAGTGGCATTCTACTTTTAATTTTTAGGTTTTGGGGCCTCACCCAGTGATGCTAGGAGGTTATTCCTGGCTCTGTCCTCAGGAATTACTCTTGGAGGCCATCTGGGATGTTGGGAATTGAACCCGTGTCAGCAGCATGCAAGGCAAGCTGCCTTATCAGCCGTACTAGGGCTCCAGCCCCAACGTTCTACTTTCAGAGAGAAGAGGAAACCCGGGCTCCAGTGGCCGAGGAAATCCAAACAGCCTTGCAGAGGGGCTGCCCTGCATTGCACAGGGGGCTGGTGTGACCACACCTGCTAGAACAGGCGGTGATAGCGCCGATGGGGATGATGGTGGCAGGGCTGAGAGCAGTGACAATGGCAATGGCGAAGACGAGACACGAACGCACAGACACGTGTGCCCAGTGACCCCCTGAGGCGATGCGCGCTGCCAGAGCTCACCTGAATCCTCTCCGTACCAGTCGGTCTGGACGTCCATCATGGAGCTCATGGCCACGCCCGCCCCGTCTGGTCTTCCCTCCAAACTGCGGGAGAAGTGATGGTCCGCGTCCTCTTTGCTCTGCACCGCGCTGTTGCGCAGGAGGGCCTCCAGGAACTGCTTCACGTGGTAGTTGCTGTACGCCAAGTCCACGGCCTGGCCACTGGGCAAGCCCTCGTCCACGTGCGCCAGGCTCAGCGGGGCCGCGTACTGCTGCAGCGGCTCCCCGACCTCCACCTCCACCTCGTCCGCGTCCAGCTCCACCTTGGGCGCAACCTGGCTGGGCAGCGTGGACAGGTCCGGGTTGGCCGGGCCGCCGCCCTGGCTGTCCTTGACCACCAGGGCCAGCGGGTGGCAGTCTCGGCAGTCCCCACAAGGGGGCTCCCGGGGGCAGTCTGCGCCCTCGTCGCCCTCGGCCGACGAGGAGAGGACGCTCTTGGCATCGCAGGACGCCCCTTCCCGGCCCGAGCTGGGGATCCCGCCGTCCACCTGGTGCGCGGCCGCCGCCGCCGCGGCCGCCGCCGCCGCCGCCACGGCCGCGGCCACCGCCGCCTCCTTCTCCATCTTCCGGCAGATGTCCAGGGACGAGCGGATGTAGGTCTTGCAGAAGTTCACCACGTCGTTCATCTGCAGGTAGCTGGCGGCCGACATCACTTCGATCACGTTCTCGCCGCACAAGTCCAGCTTGCCGGAGTAGAGGAAGTCGAGGATGGTGGAGAAGGCCTCGGAGGTGACAATGTCCAGCGAGGCGGTGCTGTGCCGCCCGCTGTCCTGGATGTAGTGGATGAGCAGGGCCCGGAAGTAGCCGCTGTTGGCGAACAAAATGTTCCGGTGGGCCTTGAAGATGCGCCCTTCCACAATGATGCTGCAGTCACAGAAAAAGTCCCTCTTGCGCTGCTCGTTCAGCTCCCCCAGGAGCTTGGCGCAGTAGGATTGCATCTCCATCTCTTCCACAGCCGCCGCGGCGCCGAGGAGCCTGGGTCTGGGGCGAGGAAGGCTTCGGGTTAGTTCACAAACCCCAACCGTGCAAACGACTTTTAAAAAGGCATTTCAGAAACACTGATTTTTCAATAACACCTTTATGGCGTGGACTATTCCGCAATAACATCAGAGGCTGTCCGAAGGGGTGAATTTAGAAATACAATAAACTACAGTTTAGCTGCCTGTGGGCAGAGTAGGTACTGTTTCACATGCCTCTTCTAAGAAACTTTTATAAAACCTTATGAGTAAGTATTAATATTGTACCCACAATACTGTCTTGAGTAATATTGCACTTACAATATTATATTTAGAACATGTACTTAGTAATATTGTATCTTCTCCTGGTAAGGGACTGAATCTCAGGGAGGATAGGGAAAAAGCCCAGATTGTTAGAGCTAGGACATAAAACCACTTCGGTTTTGTTTGGGTTTGGAGCCACACTCAGTGGTGCTCAGGGCTTACTCAGGGATCACTCCTGGTGGGGCTTGGGGGCCAGATGTGGTGCCAGAGATGAAACGTGTGGGTTTCATACATGGCAGCACCCTACCCGTCGTACTATCATTTCCAGCCCTCATCAAAACCAGGTCTGTTAACCTCCAGAGATCACACTCTGTTGCTGTTTGTTTTGGCCACACCTTGTACTGCTCGCAAGACCATAAACAGTTCTGAGGATCAAACCCAGCATGAAAATCAAGTACCTAACCTGCTGGCCTATCTCTCTAGCTCTTAGGCACTATATTGATTTCTTTAAGCCTCAAATACAGATAATCCACAAATTTAAGAATTACATTTTGGGGGGCTGGAGTGATAGCACAGCGGGTAGGACATTTGCCCTCACATGGCCACCCCAGTTCGCTTCCCGGCACCCTATATGGTCCCCCGAGCATCGCCAGGAGTAATTCCTGAGTGCAGAGCCAGGAGTAACCCCTGTGCAATGCTGGGTGTGACCCAAAAAGAAAAGAAAAAAAAGAATTACATTTTGGTTTCCAGTGTCCTGAACAGAACTGTGAAGCTAAGTATATTCTCAGCTCACATTATTACCATGACATTGTGGAAACATCTGATGGATTTTTGAACTAGTCTGAATACATTCTCCATTTTATGGTTTTATTGCTCTGTTTGGTTTTGATGGAAATACTCTCCTACCATTTATCAAGAGACCACTATCCCAGACTCTCCAGGTATATAAAATGTGTATAACAAGCTAAAATAACTATTTCCCACCTTTTGACCACTGTGATTGGCTCAGAATTTACCATGTGACCTACACAAGCCAATGAAAAAGAATGCGCTATCTATTAAGTTGGGGGACGCACAGCGCTTGGGGGTCCGTAACTAGTTTACATGCTGGGCTGGAGCGATAGCATAGCGGTAGGGCGTTTGCCTTGCACGCAGCCAACATGGCTGACCCGAGTTGGATTCCTCTGCCCCTCTCGGAGAGCCCGGCAAGCAACCGAGAGTATTTCTGCCCGCCCGGCAGAGCCTGGCAAGCTCCCCGTGATGTATTCGATATGCCAGACACAGTAACAGCAAGTCTCATGATGGAGACATTGCTGGGCCCGCTAGAGCAAATCGATGATCAACGGGAGGCCTTTACTTTACTTTTTATCTATTAAGGGTCCAAAAAAAAAAAGAGTCCTTTGCGGTGTGGGCATGTGGGCTGCGGGCTGCTGCTTCCATCCCTCAGGAGATCCGGCCTAATAAAGATGATGGCCCAGATTGGGCAGAGCAGCAGAAGCCCGTCTGAGCTTCAGCTCATCTGTTGTCAGAAGCCACTAAAGGTTTTGCTTAGCTTAATCTGAGTTGGTGGAAGTTTGGGGGTTGTTATTAAGTATAGGGGTCACACTGGCTGGTGGTTCTGGGGGACAGGACTACTCCCAGCAGGGTTCAGGGGACATCTGGATCATGCCCAGCAGTGCTAGGCCATGTGCTGCGAGGGATCAAACCTAGGGCCTTCCACATACAAAGCATATGCTCTACCACTTAAGTCACATCCCCAGCCCTTGAACTGAGTTCTCTAATGCTTGAGACTCCCAAATGATCAGCTCCCTGATAACTCTTGGTTCTCTCCTTCCTACTTTTGTGTTCTGGCTCACTAGGTCAGTGCACAAGCCCTTTGAAGGCATGATTTAGGTCTTATGCCACGTGCTGCCCCACCCTCAAACTCTACCCCCAACACCTGGCAAAGTGCTTCCAAAAAAGCAGTATTGCTGAGTACAAAGAATACTCCTTTCTTCTTCCTCTATTTTTTTTAAAAGTTTTTGTGCCATACCCCAGGCTAACAGAGCTCTGTCAACCTGAATTGTTGGTGGGCAAAGGTATGAGCGACGGCACAGCGGGTAGGGCATTTGCCTTGCATGTGGCCGACCAGGGTCTGATTCCTCCATCCCTCTCAGAGAGCCCGGCAAGCTACCGAGAGTATCCCGCCTGCACGGCAGAGCCTGGCAAGCTCCCCATGGCATATTCGATATGCCAAAAACAGTAACAACAAGTCTCACAATGGAGACGTTACTGGTGCCCACTCGAGCAAATCGATGAACAACAGGAGGACAGTACTACAGTGCTACAATGCTACCCCAGGGTTTATTACTGGCTCTGTGCTCAGAGATCACTCCTAGTGCGGCTTGGGGAACGTTTTGGGGTGCTGGGGAATCAAACTTGGGTCAGCTATGTGCATGGCAAATGTGCTATTCACTGTATGATAGCTCCAGCCCTAAGATTCTTTTCTTTAGTGCTACACAGGACAAGTATAAATAAAATTTAAATCCTTCTGCTGGGGTCATTAAGGCACTTGCCTACATGCAGCTATGGTTGAGACAATGATTTGGATCCCAGAACCACATGGTCCCCTAAGCACAGAGCAGGGGTGTGGCAGCTGAGCACACAGCTGGGCGTGACCAAAAAAACAGACACACAAATTCCTTCTGCTATAAGTAAGAGACACACTGAACTTCTTCCTTAAATTCTCCTCTCCATCTTCTTCTAGCACATCAAACCATTGTGACCCATGGAGCTCTGAGCAGTCTCTAGAGCCCTGAACACAGGTCAGGTGCATGCAAAGTGCCTTACCCACTGAACTACTGCTCCTGCCCCATCCAGTTCTCACTTTTTTCTTTTTCTTTTTGGGCCACACACGGCTGTGCTCAGGTATTACTTTTGGCGGGTTCACGGGACCATCTGGGATGCTGAGGATGGAGTTCGGGTCAGCGACGTGCACGGGCTTACTTGTTGCACTATCTCTCAGCCCCCTGACTTTTAAGTTTGCCAGTTTACTTGCTTGTAGAAGCTCTTGTCTATTTATCTCCCTAATTGGTTCTCTAATCCCTGAACATAGTCAGGAGTGATCCCTGAGCACCCTGGGTATGATGAGAGAGAGAGAGAGACAGACAGACAGACAGACAGACAGACAGACAGATAGTAGAAGGGCTAAGGTGCTTGCCTTGCATGTGGCTGCCCTTTGTTCCCTGACACCCTGAGCACTGCAAGGAGTGATATCTGAGCAGAGTCAAGAATAAGCCCCGAGGGCTGGAGAGATAGCACAGCGTTTGCCCTGCACGCGGCTGACCCGGGTTCAATTCCCAGCATCCCATATTGGTCCCCTGAGCACCGCCCAAAGTAACTCCTGAGTGCAGAGCCAGGAGTAATCCCTGTGCATCGCCAGGTGTGACCCAAAAAAAAGCACTGAGCACAATCAGGTGTGGCCCAATACTCCCTGTCCCCTACCTATCACCACTGGGGGAAAAAATAGAAAAATAATCTTTTTTAAAATTTGTGAAAACTGGGAATGGAGAGATGTACAGGGGTTAAGGTGCTCAACTTGCATACTGCGGACGGCTCTCCTAGTTAAATCCCTGAAACGCACACAGTCCCCTGAGCAACACCAGGCGTCACCGTGGAGCACAGAGCCAGGAATAGCTCCTAATCAGCACCACTGGGTGTGGTCTAAAAACTCAAATTTAAAAAATCAAGAAAAAAACCTAAGGGTCAGATGGGGGCTGGAGCGATAGCACAGCGGGTAGGGCGTTTGCCTTACATGCGGCTGACCCGGGTTCGAATCCTAGAATCCTATATGGTCCCCTGAGCTACCACCAGGAGTAATTCCTGAGTGCAGAGCCAGGAGTAACCCCTGTGCATCACCAGGTGTGACCCAAAAAGCCAAAAAAAAAAACCTCAAAAACCTGAGGGTCAGAGAAGGCTGATTAGGCAGAGCAGACGCGCATTAGGGGAGCCTGGGCTGAGTCCCTGCACTGCATGGTTCCCCGAGGCAACACTGCAACACAGCATCAAGCCCTGTCTGGCCCAGAAACAAACAAAAAATAGACCTAGGAATTTTTTCAAGACATCAGAGGTGATTTAGCTGAGAGCATTAAATGATCCTACACGTTCAAAATAGCCTAAGGATCTTACCAAATTATAGCCCAGAGTCTAAGCCACCAGATTATTCTTTTTTATGTTTGCTTTATTATTATTCCTTTTTTTGGAGGGGGGCTTTTTTGGGTCACACTCAGCAATGATCAAGAGTTACTCCTGCCTCTGTACTCAGGAATCACTCCTGGTGGTGCTCAGGGGACCATATGGGATGCCGAGGATGGAACCCAGGTTAGATGAGTGCAAGGCAAATGCCCTACCCACTCCAGCCCCTTTATATATTTTTTTAAACTCACAAAAGCCATATCAAATTTCAGTAATTTTTCTTCACCCTAAGTAGTTAAAATTAACTTATGGTTCAGAGAGCCAGAGAAATAGCTCAACAAGCTAGGCACAAGCTTTGTATGCAGGAAGCCTTAGCTCACCATTAGCCCAGGTTCAATTCTCAGAACCACAAAGTAGGTGCCTTGAACTGTAGACTGTAGCACTGTCCTCCTGTTGTTCATCGATTTGCTCGAGCGGGCACCAATAACATCTCCATTGTGAGACTTGTTGTTACTGTTTTCGGCATATTGAATACACCATAAGGAGCTTGCCAGGCTCTGCCATGAAGGCGGGATACTCTCGGTAGCT